TCCCCTTCATCGCCTTCCTGCCTGGATTCGTTTGCGTCGGGTTTGAGGGGGGGGAGGGGGGCTTCCCCTCCCACCTCCTCCCCTGGGAGGGGGCCGAAGTGGAGGTGGTAGGCCTCGACGACGGCCGACACCATATCCTCCGCGCTCTCATCGCTCGGGCTGAGCGCGGCGATGCGGAGAAGCCATTCGAGATGGAGCAGGGAGTCGTGGCCGGGCTTCTTCGTTTCAATCCAGTGCTGATGCCATTCAAACGCCGACGTGAGGTCCTTGCCGACCGCGCATAAGCGCATAAATTCCGAAAAGCTTTCCTTGCCCGGCTTGTGGTTGTGATTCAGAAGATTAAAGGTTTCGTGCGCATAGCGGTAGGCCTCCTTTTTGCTGGATGACGTGTTGCGAAGCTGGACAATGGTCGTGCACCACGACAGCAAACGCGCACAGTGGTGATCCTGCAGGAGATTGTTTTGCTGATGAAGTCCAAACGCAAGATACCACGGCCGCGGCTCATGCGCTAGAGCTTTTCGGATGACCTCAAGGCCCTGTGTGGGTACCCACCGAGAAAAATGTTGAGAGTAATCTTTACGCGCCTTAATACCTCCCCACATTCGTATTCAAAGCCGAAGACACCTAAATCCGTCTCACACGCTTATGTCTGTATTTGGATGAATAATCTACAGCCTAATCTACTGTGTTGAAAAAGGTGTACGCATAAAGTGTGTTCCCCTAAATATATGGTAGGTAAAACAGCAACCCATACGTCTCTTGGACCACTCAAAGAATTAAAACATGAGGAAGAGAAAGAAAAGGATTTTTGACCTCGCCCATTCGCGCCTTGTGCATTCAGGTACTCTGGAAGCGTTCACTAAACGCGAGAAAATGACAAAATAACATATATATCTGACATTGAAAAAATAAGAATTAATACCTGTTCAAAAAACCCATAATTTTAAGAGTTAAGTTTGTGAGGAGACAACACTTTCACAACAATCCGTTTTCGTTATTGTCTTATTGTGTAAAGACAACTTCAACGTATGTTATAATTGGGCAAAAGAATGATCGCAGAGATACACCCTCTTTTTGCAAAGTTGTCAAGCACAAAATTTATAAGACACATCATCTCCCATCTATGCAATCATTCGAAATACCCAACGTACAGAGGAGCTTGACGTTTAGAAACTCAATAATTAAGACTCTTATCTGAAAACAATAGGTAGCCTATTATTGTCTGTTTCATACATTTCTAGAGTTCATTTCAATACAGGAAGGACGCTGAGCACCTCTTACATGAATGACTATTGATATAATGGATATTTTTTGTTGTACCTTATTTAGTCCACTTTTTTATTGTTTGCTTAATTCTTCATCGTCGCGAATTTTCCTAATTAACAGTCAATAATTTATCTAAAAGCTTATAGTAATACGAAACTATTGAGAACAACTTATTTATCTGCATGAGTATCAACTATTATTCCACAACTACATTTCGTTGCTACAATTCTAGTCATTCGATGGAGGGGTGTGTGCCAGCAGGCACCATGGTAGCAAAGTTCGAAAGCGAGAATAATAAGGTAAAAAAAGGGAAAACGTCTAAGCGTTATCCATTTTAATGTTAACACTTACTATTCATGGAATGTACCCAGTAAACACACAAAACGCAGCATACCACTGCAAAGTACATAACAAAAGTCAGCGTACATAGATAATTAAATGGGTCTTTGCACCCTCGTACATATCCTTTTAGTGCTTTCGCTTTCTTAGAAAAGTTAAACCTACAGCTCCAACAAGACCAACCATCCCGAGGGTAACCAGAGCCAACTTCACAAAGGATTTCTCGGGAGTGTCGTTCGGTGTGGGGACTGCTTTAGCAGCCATCAGTTCCTCTACACACGCACCAATAGTCTTTTCGATGTCGGTGAATTGCATTCCCAGCTCTTCAATCGCACGACGATTATCGAGAGGTTTACGTTCGCCCAAGTTTCTCCACAAGAAACGCAGGTTCACGCTCTGCGGCGCGTAAATCAACAACGTCAGTAGCTTATTCGCTGAGCGCGTCGGCGGGTTCAGGTGAGGGTACTGCTTTTTGATGATTCTGCTGACCTCCGCCAGGCTTAGACAGGCGTTCGAAATAATGATGCGCTGATCTTTGGCTTCCGGTGACTCCATTGCCCGCACATGGGCCTCAGCTACATCACAGACATCGACGTAGTTCCAGTACAATTTCGGGCAAAATGGGAAATACGAGGGCGCATTGGCCAATCCCTGAATCATCATCATCGCATCACTGGTCTCCTCAGTTCGGCTCGGGCCGATCGTACTTGAGGGCAGTAATACTACTAACTCCACTCCTAACATCTGACGCAACCTCCAGGCTTCTTTTTCAAAGACGATCTTAGCGTAGGGAATAGGATCCGTCTCCGAATTTGCAACCGTGTTCCAGCACCTCTCGTCGAATTTGCCAGACGGCGGCAAGGCGTCGCGGATGTGGAAAACAGAGGTTGCCGCACCGGTGAGAACGACACGCTTTACTGAGGCCTTACCGGCGAGACGGATACCGTCAAAAAGAGCTTGAATAGCATCCATGTGGTACGCTACCGGGCCTTTTTTCTTATCCACCGCTGAGTTAGAGCACCCGCAGTGGATGATATACCGGCAGCCCCGGATAACGTCCCGCAACGCGATCGAATTGTTGATATCAACATTTGCTATGGAAAGACGAGATGCCACATCAACGCTCATTACTTTGTAAAGCTCAGCTTGCTGCTGCTGGGTGACGGGGTTTGAGGTCGCCAAGCGAACGCTGTAATCTGCCTTCAGAAGCTTCGCCACGACATGAGACCCGAGGTACCCGTTTTCTGCTATGACCAAGACATTGGTTCTCGATTTAACACTCTTCACTCGCTCTTTAGCCGTCTCAGAGCTAAGTTGATTCAGAATGGTGCTCACAGGGAGTGTTTGGCGCGGTGCTTGTCCGTTTACGGTTCGAACTGGCTCACCTTGCTCCTCGTCGGAGTAGGCGTCGCCGCCAAACGCATTCAGGTCCAAAGTGCTACCCGAAAATACCTTTTGCAGGGTATGAGCTCCGGGTTGCGGCCGAAGTGGTTCACCATCATTCGTGAAATAGTCTGCTCCAGGGCCCAGAATGTGAGGACGTTCAACTAAATTCGGTCTCACCACAGTTTCCATGTCCTCCAGGGTCAGACAACTACCAGAAAAAACTCGAAACATTTTCTTTTAATATCTCTATATAATGAGCCCCTAGTCTTGAAGGTATTTTGTTTTGGCTACTGAACTGCTACAAAAATCACAGTTGAGGAATTAATGCAGAGCAAACTTAGTTATATTTATTTCTTTCGTTTATTTTTTCAAGCGTGCTCAACCTAGCAGGACAAAATATACAATATTTGTACCTAAAAGGAGTTGAAAAGGAACAATTCCCACACGATATGTATCTTCTACTCCAATATGTGTATATTGTGCTTTTAATTGTTTAGTATAAGTTGAGACGCAGTCCAAATAAAACTAATATACGACTACAAACTGTAACCGTTCACTTAAACTAAATGTGACAGCCTTAAAATGCCGATAACCAATTAATTATTCAATTTAGGATACCTATCTATCTACTTATATAGACAGATAGATATATTTGAAAGAATAAAAAAGAACTGAGAAAAATACTTGTAAACGGAAATAAAATAACAACACATATTAGTATGTCAACCAGAGTGCTAAGGTTAAACTCATAGCTTTAATGGAAATGCAAGTGCACAGATAGGTCATTTTGCGTGCAACTGTTTGTGGTAGGGTTCATTAAAACAATGAAGAATATGAAGCACACTATTAAAGAAGCAATGTGACAATTAACCCGCCAATGAAGCGAAAAGCGTACAGTTTGGCTGCCCCTATCCCTATCATATCCTATTATTTACGACGAAACAAGCTCTCTAGGACGAACCAATCACGGAACCATTTTAAAATCTAATAAACATTAAAATAGGTGTGACTATACAAAAAAAGAGAAAGAATCGCCATATTTCAACCCTTCCCACTGAAGTTCCCTCTCGATGCCTCAGGAGTGTCGAAAAAAGACTTCTTGAGATTCATCAGCGTTTGGAGGGGCGCCGGCGCGCACCGCGGGTGGACGGGGGAAGCCCCGATGGGCCCCCCCCACTCGGTCGTACCCCTCAAACCCATTCGCGTACGGTGGGAGAGGGGGAGGCGGGGTGGCAGTCGTCGCGCGCGGGGTGGTCCCGGTGCGCCCTCGCTTCGCTGTCCCCCGCCGCCTGCGGGAGGATCCCCCTCCTGACGTGGCCCGCCCCCTCTTCCCGGAGAGCGGCGGCGACGGCGTTGTCACAGGGCCGGCTGTGACAGCCTCGCGGTGGGTAGGGCCACCCCTAGCCTCGCCCTCTCCTTGAGTCGCCGTCCCAGCCCGGCCCGCCGTCTCACCCTCCCCTTCAGCCTCGCCCAGGACGAGGGGGCCGAGGTGGGCCACCGGACGGATCGGGAAGAGCCGGTGACTCCGGCCAAGCACCGCGGAGCGGTCCTCCAGCGCCGCCAGGGCGTCGTCCAGCTTCTCGTCGTAGGTCTCCCCGTAGGAGTGGACCGGGGGAGGGGGGGGGTTGAGGTCGACACCGTGAGAGGGGCTCGGACTGGGGTGGCAGACCACGTGGCCACGCCGGTGGCCGCTGGGCTCGTCCTGGGTAGGGGACCCCGACGTGGCGGCAGAACACGCGGGCCCGGCACCGTAGAACCCCTCGTGGGGGGTGCCCTCGATGGGATCGCCTACGTTGGCGGACTGCTTCGGTTCTCTCGTGGGGATACGTGGCGGGACTGTCGTAGCCATGCCAACCACGGTTGCGCCCCCAGCGGCACCTTTCAAGACGAGCTGCGAATTGACCTTTGAGTTGGTCGGTGTGGCGGCGTCGACATCGGAAAAGCCATCATCGTCCCCTGTGGTGCAGTTTTCACTCGAGAAGTTTGAAGCTCGTACGAGAAACTCGTCTTGGTGATGCTGAATCTCTGCGTCCACGATCGCTTTTCTCTTTGAGCACGCCCAAGTCACTCCTAGACTTGATTTTCTCATCCACCAAGCAGTTCGCATAATCTCCATTCGCGCACCTCGCGGGAGTTTAGCCCAGGATAACGCCCTTGTAAGTACGCATTCCTCGATTGGGTAAAGGTGTGGCTGCGGCGTGGGTGATACGCCGTCATTGCTTTTAACTGGATTAAATAACCATAAAGGAGAGTCATTCGCATCTTTGATGGCCTCTCGTGCCCGTGTGATCACTTTTACAGCACCTAAGTGTACCTCCACCGTGTCTGCAATCACTAAAAAATCACCTAATCTTAAGTATGTGCCGATACTCAGATCGGTAGTCACGGAGCTGGCATCGCCATGCTGATTCATTCCCATTCCTACTTCTGAGTCCCCACCTTCGCAGTCTTGACGGCGCAATTTTACTGAAAAATTTCTTTTCGAAAGGTTTTCGACGCGAACGGCATAATTGACGGACGAGTGCACCTTTTCGGGAACTGCACTACTAGAAATCGTTGTGAACTCTAAAAGCCGCCTAGAACATGTAAGCCTATTTCTGAGGGCCCAGTACAAACAAGGAGAGCTTCGCCCCAGCACTATCGACGAAGACGAGGCCGATCCTAGAGGACAGGTATCAGGTGGGGCGTCTGCCCTTGGTTTTATCACAGGTGGAATGAGGAGTTCCACTGCAGAGCATTCTCCACGCTGTCGACCACCGTCACCAAGCGACGACTCAGCACTCACGATCATTAAGAATAGGTGTACTTGAGACATTTCTTGGGATGCCATTGTCATTTTTAAGAGTTCAGACTGCACAGCAAAATCTAACAATTTGAACAATCTAATAAAAAATTAACTCCAATGTGATTCTTGAATATGGTGTAACTATTTCTCACACTCCGAAGTTTATCTCTTAGCTATCCACTAATAATAATAGGTCCAAATTCTATCTTTGAAGAAAATAATCAGAGAACACCAAGTACAACAAATTCAACCGCCTCTGGCGCACGTCCCAGCGTTAAATATATCGCAACAGCAGTGGATCATTTGCTGTGGGCTTTGCATCCCCAAATATCAATTAGAACTCGCGTGGTAAATGCAGTATCCAACTCTAGAAGTATGTTACAGGATGATGGGGTAGTGAAGAAAAGGAAGGGAAATAATTAATTGAGGTAAAATTCTTTCTACCGCATTCAAGATATTGGCAACATTCCCTGGATGTCTCGTTGCCAACGCTTAACCGATTCCACGAAGGGACGCGCAAGATGCGCCAACGCGTCTTCATCACTGCGTCGTACATCTACCGAGATACTCAAAAGCACCACGCCGTCCTCCTTGCTAATGCCGATGGTGCCCCCAGCTGTGTCTCGTCCTAAAAGCGTCCCTTCCAACAACTTCTCATAAAGCTGTAGACGTACTTCCTCGGAGACGGGAAGCCTATCTAACAACATCGCGTACACATGAAGTCGCTCAGATTCACTGTCCAACGTCAGGAATATGTTCAGTTCGTCCGACATATTAATGATGCAGGTGCCCTTGTCATCAAGTTTGATCGGCGGGGCCTCTAATACCCTTGAGATGCCCTCCAGCGAACCCTGCACGAGCTCATCGAGAGACCTCGCCGGTACCGGAGAGACCTGACGCGGATCCTGCTTACTTTGTAACTCCGCTAATGTAAAGTGGAGTTGGCGAATTGTCTCCTCCTTCGCACGAATCTCATCTCGCTGTGATTGCAGCTCAGACTGTAGTGAGGTGATCTGTCTTTGTTGCTCATCTTGGTGACTTTCCCTCACCGCATGGGCCTGGTCGCGCTCCTTGCGCAGAAGGTCCAGCTCCGCAATGAGTTCCGCCTCTTTATGGCGCCACGTTTCATGAGCCGCATCTACAGCCTTTTGCTTTTCTTTATCCGCAGCCTCCAGGGTCTCTTTGAGCACTAGCACCTCCTCTTTCAACTGCCAGTCCGACGTGGCGTTGGCAGCACGCCTTTCAGCCTCGAGTAGCTTTTCCTGCAGCAGCTCGTTTTCGCGTGTTAGGGCCTGATTTTCAGCCTTCAGAACCGGCAGATATCGATCAGTGAGGTGTGAACCCACCCTGTGGCTTCCAGACCTTATTGATATCGCATACTGTTGTCCTTGGTGTGCGTAAGGCGCCAATGAACCGGATACAGAGGTCCGGATACTCTCCGTCTCGTCTGGCATGCTACATCGTCTTGCATTTTGTCCGCCCTCCGGTAGCAATTGTCTGTCCTCGGGTACTTCATAACGGGAAAGATTTCCATTTCGCACCCCTCCCTCTCGGACTGCCTCAGAACGGGCTTCCGTTGTAGATCCGCCACGCGCCAGCTCCGTAGCATTGTCTCGCCTAGAATGACTGGATGCAGGAAGAAAAAGGGCTTGATCTGTGGTGAATTGCGTCGTGAGGTGGCTTTCGAGGAAGTTCCGACGGGCATAATTACTACCACGTGATCTGCGGGATACCCCGAGTCCATCAAAATGAGGATCCGAGTGAGCACCCAATTTATCCTCCCACTCGAGCCTTTCAAGGGGCTGGTATTCTGTGACCCCTTCAGAACCAGTAGACCTGTGTGGAACTCCCTTCGTCGTGACTGTCTTGAAGTTGCATGATGAGTGTAGGGGGGTGATAGGGGATCTAGAAGCCATATCTTCCGGAGTTGGACTTTTGGTCGGCGAAGTCGTTCGCTGACTCGCACAGTTAAGTGAGAGGTCACACGCAGAAGGACTCGCGTGCTGAAGGTGAAGAACTGCATTATTGTAAAGTCCAATGCTATCTCCACTCGAACCTTCTAATAATTTTTTCCCATTAAAAGTGAGTTCCTGCTGTGCTGCGGGGATTCCGATAGATTTCTCAATGTATCGTTTTATCCTCTCGGTGCCCAATAGGCAAATGTCTCCTCGAAAGACAAGTTTGTACTTGCGTTCATTGATCAGAGATTGTATGTACACACATTGCGAAGGCTTTTCCGTGCATAAGCTCATTTTTTATTCAGCAGCAAGAAAGCGAATATGTTGCCTTTTCGAAGATAGTCTCTTTCTCTACCTCTCTATAATGTATATTATGCGGTGTACTTTTGATGGAACTGAATGAGTCAATTGCGCGGTGTATAAAAAAGAGAAAATAAATAAAGGGCAATATGCAAAAGAAGATGATGATGATATTTGCAAATATTTATGTCAGATCTCCTGGAGCTTGGCTCCATCAAAGCTTAAACGAGTATAATACATTCAATGCATCAGCTTAGACATAATAGTATGAAAATTCCAGAAGGAAAGCAGAAGCACAGGTTGAAATTAAGATAATCTACATTTTTTGCTGAGTTGAATGTATGGCCACTGAGAAAGTGAATATTTTTCATTGTTATCACCATGTTCGATCACGCTTTTCGATGTGTTGTACAAACCATTGGTCACATTTTATCGTGTTGATCACCGATTATTTTCTATTGTTTTTCAGTTTAGCGCAATTTGTGATGATCTCTAATTATCGCCTCGCGTTAGGAAGGTCATCACCCCCCGTTGACGTTCAGAGCCCGCGATTCCAGCCCTTTTTTTTGCCCGAGCCACCATTTTAGAGATCACTTTATCCATTTCATCAGCAGTCGGTACTTTAAAAGTGATGCCCATCTTAAAACCCCAGGCTTTGTCAAAATCTGGAGTGAATTGCCGCAGCACATAGCGCGCACCCATACAAATTTGATAGCCAACCACACGGCTGGAATGTCCTTTTACCGACATCCCAATTTGCTGGTATGTGAGGCCCTCAATGACGCGCTCGTATTCAACACGTCGCGCGAGCACAATCTGTGGCTGAGACGGCATGGTCCCCAAAACCCGCCCAGTAACGCGGGAATCAAATATTTTAGTATACAATGCCTCATCAACAAAGCCGTAAGAGCAGTAAACATAACGTTGCGATATAATGTTGTGAATACGAAAGAAAGACCTGCTCAAGAATGTGTCTTTCCAGAACAGATGAAAGTAAATGGTAGGCCTCCAGCTACTGTCCACCTCATTTATAAGCATGATCACACGCTGCAGTTTCAGTTTGATTACCTTATCAACCTTCTGCAGCTTCGCTCGACGATACGGAAAATCCACCATAAGCACTTCATCTAACATAGACTCCACTTCACTAAGCAGAGACCCGATGTTATCCTCCACCGAAGTGGCCAGTTCGTAAAAGGCATTGTACTCCTCGATAAGAAACGCGAACGTGAGTAGCGTGGCGGAGAAGTGCTCGGTGCTCCCAAGCAGGCGCACACATCGCGCCAGGAGTTCAAGCCTCAGGTATGCATCCTCCTCCGTAATCGCTACCAAAGAACGAAGAAATGTAATGGTAAACTGCAACACCCACTGCGCAGTATGAGTGACGGGCGCGAGCTCAAAGGAGGTCTCGATCATATTTTCCAAAACATACTCCATCACTTCCTCAGCGCCGACGAGGTGGATGGGTGCCTTATCCTCACTCGGACCGCCGATGCTGCCGCTACCCATATCAAAATCATCCTTTGTCAATATGAACTCCTCTTTGAGGTTGCCACGCTCTACTAACTCTAAAGCTCGAGAAAGGACATCCAAAAAACTGTTGAAAGTTGTGTGAGGCACACATAACGAATCGAGTTCGTACTCTAAGTTATCAATGCTATCTCGAATCTCGGCACAGGATTCCTGAAATTTCGAAATAGATTGAGGAGTCTCCGCTTCGCTCGGACCATTCCCCAGCAGGCAACCAGGCGTGGAGACTGTTGCTTCGAGATGCATTGGAGTGCCTGCGTCGCTAAGCGGATGAGAGTCAAAGGACCGTAATCCTGGGCCAGAATTATCGGAGTTCAAAAATGTCCTGTTCAATGAGTTATCAAACGCTTTTCCCTGAGATATTTCTGGTAAAAATGACGGAACATTTGAGTATGTGGTAGTACTGCAGCCATCCGGTCTTTCTCTCAAGTTTCCTTCATCGAGGACCATTTGGGGTCTATAAAAGCCTTTGAAAATCATCCTCTCAGCCCTCTCACCAAGCCCCTTTCCAAGGACTAGGCCACGTAGTTGCCGCTCCCGTCTTAGTCTCTGCTGCTCTTGAAATTCTTCCCGGATTTGCTTTTTTAACTGACATTTTGATATACGCCTGGGACGCTGTTTAAGATTCCTACTGCTTAACTCCTCGAAAGAGGCCGAATCTAATGGACCGCAGGCAAAAAGAAGTGATTTCCTATGCAGCTGAGGTGTATTTGCCGACATAATGAGCACTAGGATTTTGGATCGATTCCCTAAAAGTAGGCCTCGCTCCTGCCTTTTACTTTATCTCTTGCTTTTTTGTTATTGCTGTCGTTTGCTTTCCCTTTTTTCTATTGGAGGCAAAACACACACACAGAATGCTGGAAGAGTGAAAGTCAAATGGCATTCACACCAATGCGATACGAGACAATTATCAGGTTCCGCATTTGTCTCTCAATTTTGAGTATTATTATTCTCTTCGATAAGCCCATCTCCCCAGAAACAGAATAATAATAATTATTATCATTATTTAAGGAAAAACAATAGAAAACTAGGATAAGCAAAGAGAAAAAATCGAAAAGGATTTGCAATAAACTTGTACCTCTAGTAAAAGCAAATGATGCCATCCATGCAAAAAACAATGTAATTGTCACGACTACCGTTAGCACAATAGCGTCTTCCGACACACGCTTGAAACCGCCAGGGTGAACAAATATTCCTTTTTCAACGAAGGATACTTTGACTCTTCACCAATCACCGATACCATCCCAACCCTAGCAATGTGCTCTTTATTAAAGATATGGAAAGCAAGGCCGCGGTGGCGGTTGGGGTTTTGAACCTCTTGAATACATTTGCCGATACTGCTTAAGCCCGTCTCATACCTCACCTAGACAGGGTAGCGAGGAGCACTATAAAGATAATAGACGGAGATCTAGCCGACATTGTCCATTTCTACAGAGAAGACACCTTTGCTAATCGTTAGAATTACCTTTCTGCTGTTATGACTTTCTTTAGTCCTGCGCAATTAGACAACACCAGATCTTCTCTAAGTTCTGTACATAAATTTGTCGCTTTTGGCAGAGCGGCGACGTTGCCAAGATGGGCATGGGCTGGAGTGGATACTGCACGGGCAAGTAAGTGCAGAGCCCAAGAACGTGCAAGACGTAGCAGAACAACCCAAAAAAACCCGCGCGATCCGCGAACCTCGAATTTTCCAGTGGAATGCGAGCTTCATCGTCAGTGTCCACAGCATTCATCTTCGTATAAGTATCTTTAACTCCTACCAAGACATCAACCACCCCAGGCAACGTCTGCGTTGTCCTCTGCACGGAAAATTGCGCTGACTAAAGGTACTCGATTTATAGACTCCATGAAGCCTTCTATGCTACTGCCGCACTCACCAAACGTAAAGAAATAGGTGAGCACGAGATGCGTATATTGCAAGATATTCCCCTCTTTGGGGGGCTCTTTCAGACATCGCTGAGGCTTCCCCAAAAATGTCCTCACGGTTTTGATTACCATTTTAGCTCTTTGCAGCGTCGATGATGCTATGCAATCCATTTAGGGGAGGTTGTAGATTCGGAAAGCCCCCGAGGGACTCTTCATTTCGAACCTTTTTCTGATCTCAGCATCCAAGCATGCTTAGTAACAATTATGGTGAGACCCCCACACACATCTTAGACACATGAAAACGCACTAAAATAGTTTCAACCCTTGAAGCCTTTATAATATTACTAAAAGATACAGAGAGTCTATGGATATTAAAACCAATTTAAGGCCGGGAAGAAGAGAACATAGCAAAATCCGAAATAGGCATCAAACCGTTCTAAAGTAGTAAAAAGTAGAGGTCATCTTGAAATTCAATTAAGGCAGGGACCCATACTTCCTGATGTAGGCTTTGAGGTTGTTTTCTTTCCTTCAACCCCTTTCCAGAGACAACTGACAGCTCTCACTTGCATCGTCACCAAATATGCTCCCCCCGCGCGATTACAGACGTGCACAGGGAGACATCAATTAATCCATTATAGCAGTGAAAATATTCGACCCCTTTCCAGTAGAGGAAAAAGGAATCCACAACCATCCTACGTCCTTAATCGAACGTTTCATAATCAGAGCTGCTGTCTCGATTCACGGCTCCGTTATCACGATCCGACCCCAACCCACTGGAGGAATCGGAGGCAGAGGAAGAAGAGGACTCATCGTCGTCCGTCGGCGCGGACTGCGGCCGCACCCGATGGCATTGCACGCACTCCTGATACTTACTCGGGATCATCACCTGGCAATGCGGGCAAAGCCAGAGCACTACATCCAACTCATGCGTCGGCGCGAGCCACTGCGCCTCGGTGTCCTCGGCGTTGGTGTAGAAGAGGTGGCGGGTGACGGGGTCGAAGAACTCGTGCCACTCCTTCCCCACGTAGTCAAAGGCGCACTCCTTCGTGTCGTGCACGCCGCCACACTCGCGGCAGAGGAACTTGCGCATCGGGCACTGCTCCGCGGTGTGGCCGCGCTGCGCACACTTCCAACAGCCCCGCTTGCGATCCATCAACGGGTGATCCTCCGGGTGCGCACGGAGACGAGGGCACTCCACCGTCCAGTGGTTTTGCACGCAGATGTGGCAAAAAACGCGAGGGGAAGGGCGGGGAGGGGGGACCGCGGGCGTTTTCGTCCGTCGGCGGCGACGCCGGGTGTGGGAGTCCGCGCCGTCATGCCTCCGTTTGCGGTCGTGGCCGCGGCGACGTTTCGTGGACATCACAACGCAAAAGAAGCCCCACGGAAAAGGGCAGGTTTCACCTTTTAGTTATTTAGTTGAGGGGAGGTGGTGATGTGCAGGACTAGCGAAAATAACACGATTCCAAAAACCCTAGAGCAAAACCACTAGTGACTAGGAGGGAAAGAACATGACGTAGAGCTCATTTAAAAAGAAAGCAAGACAGCAGGCACACCATAATTTTTTTTGTTTTTGAAAATATTCCAGCTTGTTTTGCTTGGATATCTGCATGCGTCTAGCAATATGTAAAGATTAAAGTTTTATAATATCCAAAGCTATTAGCTCTTCTGTTCTCGAGCCAAGTACCCCTCGCCAAGGGAGATCACCTCAGCTGTCAGTTTTGCCTGACGCTCCGCAACCTCAGCGGTACTCTTGTAGCTCGAAGGAGCACTGCCGCAGCTAAGGCGCCACATTTGCTGTCCCTCCACATCGTCCTTATCGCATATGGGCGCCATCGCTTGAATGTGGATCTCCTCCCCGGCGTGGAGCGGCCTATCGGGAAGCAAGTAAATCCACTTGCCGCCATAAATCGAGTTGAAGTCATACCCGAACTGATGCCGGAAAAAAGATGCCATCTTCGCAGAAGCTCCGCGACGCGAAGTGCGAGCCACGAGGTAGGCGTTCGTCTGCTCACCCCCGTGCGGAAACGTGTGGATCATGGGGAGGATCCCAATGGACCGCACGGAATCAATACACAGCGGCGTCGAGTGCGATAAACAAATGCTCACAGCCCACTGCAGCTCTTGCATAGGAATCTTATTGACTAGCGGGCCACCCCTGATGTAATTTCGGATCATTTGCAGCAACACATCCGCCAGGCAGGGCTCGGCCGGGTTAAAGACGACATCATCCTCAAAGTAAGGGGCATTTTGCAGCGTGCGCGTCTTTGAAAGAGACTCTGCAAAGCAGCAGCGCAAATCGCTGAGCGGGCTGCTTTTCGCCGTCACCAGGTCTGAAACAAGCATCCCCAGGGAATCGAAAAAGAATTGACAAACATCCGCCTCAGAGGAATTCCCACCGCTATTGATGGCATGAAATTCCTTCGACCGTCGGGCATCGTACAGGTTATTCTGACCATCCCCCATATCACCGCTCGCGTTGGCATCTTTGAATCCAATCACCAGGTGCTCCGGGATCGCCAGGAGCGGCGTCAGACGTGGAACGTCCTCCGCGACGAGGAAAGCGTGATCGCGGAACTCCGTGCGGCGGCGTACCGCCCGCACACTGGGGTGAATAAAGAGGTGGTGATCATGGCACCACATCAGAAGCTTGTAAAGCTGATGCGTATCCGACAGGTGGGAGAGCTGCTCGGCGTACTGCAGATACAACCGCCGTCGATGCATCGCATGTAGCTTCAGAAGATTCATCCGTTGGGGAGGAGAGAGGGGGCGACTTTGTTCACCTTTCGCCGCATCAACCTCTTCTCCTGAGTTGCCGCCGCCGTCGGTCGTCGCCGTACGGACTGCGAAGGCCTGCTCAACCTCGTCGGAGATGGCTTGACGTTCCCGCTGAAGAGCCGCAATGCAGCTGGAGACGTGCTCGTCTGCAGTTTCAGCAAAGGGGACCTGAGAAAATAAAATAGCTGACTCCATCCAGAAACGTGTAAAGATAATTCTATTTGCAAGTAATTAGACGCAAAACTGCAATCTTCCAAAGGCTTTCTGCACGCTGAGAGATGACAAGTAAGAATGAAGTGAATTTATGCATTTCATAACACAAGCCATATAAACCAAATCAAAAATAGATATGCTAAAAAAATGATATGAAGCCGCGGAAAGGGGAAGAACAACGACAAAACTCATCTGGCAAAACAATTAAGTAATGCCTTGTTGCGCACACAAGCTAAATACAGTAAAAAAATATCTCCGTCACGATAATCACCACTTCGTGATAACGTTGAGCGCGATAGCGGCAGTTGGCGTGACGTCATCCACCCACACACACACATACATCCACACACACAGTATAGTACCATGACAACATAGCAAACCCAGAACACCGTTCCCCATCAGATCGGAGCGAAAGATAAAGTTCAAGGGCGATCTTCAGCAGTAGCCCCAATCCTGGGGACGCTTCCGACACTAGTAGTAGTAGTTTGTCCTTTTTCATCCTGCAGGGGGTTCGATGGGTTCACCAATAAGAAAAGGGACACTGGTAGTGGTCAGAGGTAAGGGATCAGAAATTCAAAAAACAAACATTTGTAAGCATACTCAAGAATCTCACACCACGTTGGTAGTGCTCTCTACCCGAATTAATTTGTCGGAACGCACTGCGTAGGTGGTGTTGACCACTAATGCAACATCCATATCCTACACCACGACACATCAAATAGGTAGAAATAAATGCAGTCCACTTCAGAGATTTAATAGCATTGGGATTCTAAGGTATCTACTCGTCAATGGGTATATCAGACAAAGGAGCATACCATATCACATCATGTGGACGCAGGCCTGCCCCTTCTCCACCTCGCGCTTCCCGTAGCTGCGAATGGGGCAAAAAATATTTAATCTCCGTCACGATAATCACCACTTCGCGATAGCGTTGAGCGCGATAGCGGCGGTTGGCGTGACGTCATCCACCCATACACACACATACATCCACACTCACATCTCACACTTGAATAATCCAGTACGCTGCGCAGAGATTTGCTCAACGTTTCGAATGCAAAACTCATTTGTAGCACATCTCGGACTTGAATGGAAGCCTTACGTATACTAAAATTCAATACGTGGCCAATTGAGGGTCCTTTAAAGCAATGAAATGGAAAAACACTTTCAACCGTACATCTACTAAATCAACTTGTCTAGGTTCTGTGCATTTAATAATTTGTGTATTCCCTTTTCCTTTTCTACATGTACCTTGGCTAAAAGGAAACAAAAACAGTTAGGAGATAGAAAAGACATTATGCATGGGAATGACTCTAAAGCATAAATAAAATTAGTTACCTAAACGAATTGATTTGTCTATAGACGCTAAGTTGATTTCATACTCATTTTTTTACTATGTTATAGAGTTTGCTAGGATATAAAAATGTTTGTCCTTTACTAGACAAAACATTTAGGCTGAGAGGAAACGTGCTTATGTAAAATGATATATAGCTCGTCTCGTGTGTATAAAATTACACAAATAATATAGAAGTTAGAGAGAAATGGAATACAGACAGTAATACATAGCATGAATATAATTAGTCTTTTATCTCAATCCAACCCTCATTTTTGAGAGCTTCTTGAGCTTCGGAAAATTGCAAAGCCAATTTCTCTAACTCCAAATCTGTCGCCACGTAGTGTTCCTTTCCCTCCTTGGTATCCTTTATGATACGCTCACTCGCGAAGATGGGTTTTAATGGGAAGCATCGGACAACAAGATTAAACTTTCCGGGAGGAATAAGGTCAAGAATTTTCCGTCGGAATTCGGGATTTAAATTGTGCTCACAATCATCAACAACGATGGTTTGTTCAAGGTTGATTTCTTGCTCAAACTCCTTCAACATCGATGCTTCGATTTCGTCTTCTTTCGTGTGATCTTGCACAGAGTTGTTCAGGGTTTTTCGAATATCATCAGATCGGATTATGATAGCTGTCTCGCACACCCGCTCAACGTACTGCTTAGCCCATTCCGTCTTCCCACTAGCGTGGATGCCAAGCAGGAGGATAACCGATGGCAATTTGTGATCAATCTTCGCGCTTTTAGAGTGTCGCTTTCGATGCTTGTGGAGTTTCTTGGGGGTGGGTTCTTCCGAGTTGAAGCGCACGAATTTAGACCGCTCTTGACCCCAATAAGCTTTATAAAGAAAGCGAAAGGTCCCTCCGAGCAGGACTAAAATCAGGGTGTACAACAGGAATGGGCGCCTTTCTTTAAAGAATGACCCGCTTTTGGGTGAAAGGGGAGGGTTGGGATTGCATAACATGTCCTTTTTGTGTATATTTTAATTTTTACTTTTTTGATATGATTCCTGGTAGTGTGTGAGTGTGTGTATATTATGAAGCAAAGCTTCCCTATGAAAGAAAATGGTTAACGAAACGACGCAGTCCATTTTGTATCTGTTCATTTTAATCCTGTTCAATGCTCGTAACATTCAGGATTGAAACATTCGTACGTTCAAGCAAATAGTTTGTAGCCATATTTCTTTTGCTGTCGCTGTTGATCCATCTTGAGCAAAATAAATAGAACTATATGAAAAAATATCTATCGGTAAAAATAGATTACCGTTGCTTGTCTACCCCCCACCGGAAACAGTAAATGGAGACTCCTCCTTTGATGTTACATGTATAAAAGTCTAAATATTTTCCATGGCACTATCTATTACATTCTTCTTCATACATATACATCTCTATCTCTCCCCTTCCCCCACTGAAAAGAGAGAGGCGAGCACCGGAGACTTCCAAACAATGAATGCACCCATTTTCTCAGATCTATACTTTTCTCAGAAAACTTCGTATTGGCACGTATGTTTTCCTTCGGTTTATTATTATTATTATCACTATTATTATTCGTTCATACAAAGGAATGCGAAGGCATGCCTCATCTTCTATGCGATATATGTGCCGACACTGAACCCCTCCCCCACACACACAGGTCAGCCCTTTTCCATCGAAAGTGTCACCCCAAAGCGCCACGGGCTGTCCTTATGCAGGACGTTCCGCTGCATCACCACCCCCCATCGGATGGCGTTGTTGAACCACCCCCGCAATGTCGCCGCGCACAGCCCGGTGTTCTCCGCCTTACAGGCGAGGACCAAATTCGCCAAGGTGACCCAGGCCGGCCCCCCCCCCCCCCTGGTGACCCAAGGCCCCACCTGAAGACCCTGTGAAGTTCGGCACGCGCAGTGACAGGCCCTGTGAGAAGCCAAGACAGACGTTCGCGCGGGACTCGACCATGTCGAAGTGGTACGCGCACGCGACGAGGGTGGCCGGGGAGAGCTTCTGCATCAGCGCGAGCCGGACCCCGCTCCAGGAGTCCGTCGTCCGCGTCATCTTCGCGCCGACGTACCAGTCCACACCGGTGAACCCGACCCCGGCGTACATCACGCCGAACTGCTCCGGGCCCCCGTCCTGCTGCTCGAGGTAGGACAGCCGCTGGTGCTCGAACCCGGCGCCGGCGAGGATGTTAAAGAAAGTGGTCCCGCTGCTCACAAGGAGATTGCTGCTGCCCAGCCCATTCCGCTGGTAGCCGGTGGAGTAGTAGAAGTCGTTCCGGCGGTACTGAACGTTCAGCGCGGTGACGTCCTCGGAGGCAGGTGCGATGGTGTTGACGGAAATGCGGCCGCGCACGACCAGCCCCTCGAGCAGCTCCCTCAGCTCCGTTTTGCCCATGACGACGCCGTCGCTGTTAAGCACAAGGCTCTGTGCCGCGCGGCAGACCCTAGGGACGTCGAAGATGCAGGAAAGCTTCACCTTCCCAAGGGCCTTTCCATCTCGGTTGAGGAACATGCGAGGGGAGAAGGTAAGGACACTAGTAGAGGCAGATGGCGGTGCCTCTTCATGAGCAGCTATCTCCTGAGAAAATGGCTTCGAGGCGTCCAACCGACGATCTACAACCACAGTGTCTTCCTGTTTTCCAGAAAAAAGTTTGTCATTGGCACTTAATGATGAAACCTGCTTAGTTTTTAAGGCCAAAACCACAATCGATTCATCCCTAAACGATTTTCGAAAGAAATCATCCACAATGCTAAAGTAGGAATCAAGGGTAGTTGGGGCTTCCATTTTGTTGGAGTAGTTTTAGCGGCCTGGTTGGATGCCCTTTGACTTCCGTTTCTATGTGGTTCAACAACTATAGAACTCTTTCTAATATGTATTTACTCTTCCTACGGCGAAGAGAAAATGTACCAATGGATTGCTAAAAGTGATCGGAGAGCGGCAATCACTCGCACGTGCTACTTTTGAAGGATAAATAGAAGAACAGATGAATTGAATTCCATGAATATGCGATAGAGATGTTCGTATTAGATAGGGCCACTCGCTATACGCACGAAGAGGGACTGCACAGTAAATCAAAAATGTTTTTTTTGCGCACGTGCATTTGCACTAATATACAAAACTCAATGCAAATTATTTTCTTACCCTCGCCTCTTTTAAACAATCATAGATGAAATGAACGAAAAGAAACGTGAAGCATACGCAAACGGTGTGATACAAGATATCCGTTTAGAGTCATGTATAAGGCCCTTCGCCATCGTTTCAATTTGTTTAGATACGTCGTATTCTTGCAGAATATCGATGATTCCAAGGTAATAAATCTCTTGCCGCAGCCCCAACACCTCATTGCTCAGGATACCTCCTTCATCCGCCGTGAAGCACCGGCCATCCACCGCCGAGGAAGAGTGCTCCAAGAAGCTAGATTTTCTCGAGGTGCCCAGACCGCCGTACACGGGGGCCGGCCCCGACCCCACAGGCCGCCCAGTTGGGGGGAGTATATGAATCCCCAGCAAAAGCGAATAATCCATGATGTTCGAGTACTTGAGGAAATCACAGTCCTTTTTCAGCTGCTCGATCAGTAGCCGGCGGCGCTCGGCTCCAATATGAATAGGATTGTGGATGTCTAGATCTTTCTGTGTGCAGGTTGCCCGCATCTTCTCCGCGTCGGACGCGAACCGACCAATCGTACTGCCTTTAAGGTCAAACTTTTCATGAATGGGGTTCGTCGTCGCAAACACATTCTGCATGACAATAAGACTGTAGGACTTTTTACCGACCTCAAGGTGATAGTGCCCGACAAAATGAGGCAGAAGGGTGAAAGGGTTATCGCGAACATGGTAATAGTAGCGGTGAAGAATTTTACGTAAAAAATTACTTTCCCGTCGAGTCATCGTCTTAATAACCCAGTCACGTCCGCAGAAAAAAAGCTGCGCGGCAGATTTCCCAGGCGTTGGGATGCTATGCCAGCGACTGTTGCATAGCACGTTGCAGAATTTTTCTGAATTGATTCCAAAGAACTCGCGTATGTGACGATAGCACATGGGGGAGTAATCGACAAACTTGAAGTCTACCGGGGGGATGTCGTCGTCGCCGTCGCTGTCGTCGCTGCTTTCGAGCCTCATGCTAGATCGCGTCCGCTTCTCTGCCGAGTCGCTTGCTAGCAGCGGCCCACTCCAACTGTTGCGCGATTTCGATTCCGTCCACTCCAAGTTCGAGGACTCGTAGGTGTCGTCTAACATGTCGTCCAGGGTCGTGCGCACCTTCGTTGTGATCACCCGGTGAGGATTGATGAAGTTTCGGGAGAGCTCATGTTTCTTTTTTACCTTCCCCAGATCCCCACCACAGAAGGTGAATCCGTACTTCTCTCTGTAAAAGTTCGTCGTGACCTCGATGGAAAAGTCGCGTTTGGAATTGAGAGGGCGCTGCTTTTCAGGGTGGGAGATGCTTACAAGGCTGGGCTCGAGGGCTATTTTTAGGCACCGAATGAAGAGTTTCGTCGCCTCGTTTGGCTCTTGCTTCTCCGTGGAGGATCGTTCAGTGTCTTTGTTTTTAGGTTGGTTTCCATCCGAGACGCTAGCGTCAAAGGTGAGACTTGGAGGTTTTAAATCATCCTCATCAAATTCGGAGGTGTCAGAGGGTTCAAAAGTAATGGAGGCTAAAAGCTCTCGGTTGAAAGGCATAAATAATGGGAAAAATGGCACAAAAAATAGTTCACGATAAGTTTAGCGAAGCTCTTGGAAGATCCTAATCTTCACCACCTTTTGTGAGGTTCCTATGATATGTTTTCCCCTTGAACAAGAGAGAAGTGAGCTTCGTTTTCTAGCTTGTTTTTTACTCTAATATGAAAATCACACACTCACTGCTCAGATATATATATATATATATATATATACTAAGCAAACGTGTGAGAAAGTAAGACTGAAAGGGAATATCGTATAAAGAGTCTTGATAAAGTGTTATATCGTTTAAGGACATTTCCTGTTGGAACCCGTTCCCTTTTTGTTGGATAGCTTATCATATATTTGTTAATCGTACCACAAACACTGTGCGCTCTATTACAACGAATTTCAAACAGATTAAAAAATACAACACCGATTATTTTTTTCATCCCTTCCGAGCGCGTTTTTTGAGCTTCTTACGGTTCTCAACACCCGTTCCATACACCTGTCGCAGGGCAATCGCTTTTTCGGGCTCGATCTTGACATTCTTAGCCGTGCTGAAGGCAATCTTTTCGGACTCTTCAATCAATGGCGTTGTCTCGTCTGAATCTTTGTTGAGGTCGCCACCTTGGGAGGGAATCTCCTCCTCCTTCCCCCCTTCCCCTTCTTCGAGCTTCATCCCCAGCTTCGCTGCGTCCTCGATGGGGATGGGGGTTTCCACCTCACTCTCGGGCTTCACGCGGGCCGTGGGCGTCGTTGTGGCCCGCAGACGCGCCAACACGTCGCTGCCCGGGAGCGGAATCCTCGGCGCCGGTCGACGCGCCAGCGCCTCCGCAAGCCGACGCATCGCCGCCGTCCAATCGGGCGTCTCCACGCCGCGAAGAGGCACCCCCCCCCCTCCCCGACGATCGACGAAATCGACGGCGCCACGACGCTGACGATGGAAGGCAGCGTCCCCGTCATCGGCTGAAAGACGCCAAGCGGGCGGCCTAACAGGGAGGGCGTGGCGGAGGGCGACGGGAGGACCTCCGCCGTCGGGGCATCCCCCTCCTCCTCCCCCCGGCCGTCGCCCCCGCGGACGATCTCCACGAGCTCCGCGACGCGCCGTCGGAGGGTCGCGCTGACGGGATTGCAGCACCGCAGGAGCTCCCGCGCCCCCCCGGGCCGCTTCGACGCGATCGCGAGGATCGCCGAGGAGCGAAGAACCGCAGCAGGGGAGTCATCCACGGCGCGCGCGACGGCATCCCGCCAGTTAAACAGCCCCCGCGCGATTTCCTCTTGGGCGGCAGTGAGCCCGCCAAGGCTGCGGCCCAGGGCCGCACGGTAGCTCTCCTCGGGGTCCAGCCGGGGCTTCTCATAGACCTCCAGCGCGAGCCGCTTGCTCTGCTCGTAGACGTGGAGGAGGAGGTTCCCGAGGGCGGCGCGGTTCGCCGCGTTCCCGAGTAGCGTCCGCAGGCGGTCGTAGACGTAGAGGAGGTAGTGGGTGTCCTGCCGGGCGTAGTCGACCAACGCGGCGGGCAGCGGCCGGACCCGCCAGTCCGCGGTTTGGTACTTCTTGCACAACTTCACCTGGCAGAAGTGGTCCACGGCGAAGGCGAGGCTGTGCGGCATGTGCAGCGTCTGCAACGCGATCGCGGTGTCGAAGAAGTTCACCAGATAGAGGGAGAAGTCCTTCTGCAGCCACCGCACATCCTCGCGGGCGCCGTGGAAGACTTTGAGGATGTTCGGGTTCAGGAAGACGGGCGCAAGGAGCCTCATCGAGGAGCGCAGCCGAAGACAGTCGATGATGCAATCCATCGTGCGCGTGCTGATTTGCATCAAACATGTGAACCCGAGGTACGAGTAGTAATCGTGATGCTCTAAATCAACAGCAATCTCCTTCACCCCTAAAAGATCGTTCGACACCAGCTGCTCCAACTCATCAACCGTGTCAATGAACTTGAGCGGGCAAGAACTAAGCGGCAGAGGTGCGATCTCCAGCCTAGGCAAGAGCTGCTCCGCGGAAGGCGAGAACTTCTGAATTTTCTCGGCGAAGGGATGCACGTGAGCTTCTCCGGTATGCATGATACCATTCTCGTCGCTGTATGTCGGTATGAACGGAGCTTCGGAGTTATCCACGGGCACTTCAAAAGTTAACTGCGGCCGCATGACGTGGGCTACATGCGCAAAGCCACCATTTTCTACATTAACACTCGTCGACTCACCAAGTTTGGAGCCGAATGTGACGTAAAGTTGGTCTTCAGAATTTATCCTTTGCCCCTTTAGATTATCAAGAACCGTGTCCACGCTCTCTAAAAGAGAGTCGATCGCCTCCATCGCGGTCATTCGCTGCTTTTCGCTAAGTTGCGGCGCAGAAGGGTCCTCAGGGACGAGTGAAACACGACGACGCTTAGGGAGAAGTCGACAGCACTTATCCATCAAACTCAAGAGCACGCCGCTGTGCTCGCGAACGTGCTTGCGAAATCCGACAAAGGCCATATGATACTCATGCTCATCCGATGGAAAACCAGCAGCCAGTTTGCTATAGTCCTTCACAGCACAGAACACCTCATCGACAATGCTTTTGGTTGAAGGCAACGTTCCGCTGCGATCAGTCATTTTCAACCCTATAAAGTTAGAAAGGAAAGGTGAAAAAAAATCGTGCAAAAATAAAGGGATATATTACTTTTATAAACCACTCGCTTCGATGTCTAGTGTCACTTTGTGTTTTCCTCCTTTTTCTTGTGCCTCGCAGGATGGTGATACGATGGCAATTTCCCCTATTCGCACTAAGCCCCTTCCTTGAATGGGATGTGATGAAGTTTCTTGACAAATAAATTAACCACAATAGAAACAGCCGCATAAAGAAATGGTAATTTGTTCAAAGCGCATGTAGAAAGTGTATCAGAAAAATTCATCAAAATCATCCCAAAAAACATATTACGATAAACCATCACGAACTCATAGATATTTTTCTGGACTCGTGTGTCAGGATGAAGGGCGATCATGACAGATCTTCAAATGGGACTAAGGTGATTAAAAAGTATAGCATCCTTAAAAGAATCATTATAAATTACATAAATGTAGTTTTTATCAGAAGTCGAAAAGCTATTATATTTCTTCAAGTTCTATGAATTTGAGAGGAGTACGTGTTTTTAGTCAGAACCGACCAACGTGAATGATCTTGATTTATTCATTTGTACCGATCACAATCACATTTTAGTATTCATGACTCAGCGATACTATAAATGTTATATCTAAACTAAACATTTTGGTTCTTTTTCTGGTGGTATCATATTATCGTCGCCTCGTTCTATAATTGGAGTTTTGTCATTTCCCCCGCGTCTACTTTTAATATTGAAGAAGGTATACATAAAGCCACCCGTTAAGGCGACGGCAATCCCTACGTAACCAATTAGATCAGGGTATTGACGGAACACAAGAATTCCCAAGATAGCAATTGGCACCTTGTTTAGTGTACCAACAACACTAAAGGTTGTGGGTGATGTCATTTCCATACAAAAAAAAACTGTAAATGCCATGTGCGCGCTCACAAAAATCATGAGTGCGAGGAGAATCATGACTTCCCACGATGCGTCTCCTAAAGCATTAAGAAATTCCCGAAACTCGTTATGCCCCATTATTAAAAGAAAAGGAAGCGAAAAAAGATTGCTGTAGAGTGTGGGGCCATAGCGCCCAATTTGCTTTCCCACTCTATCCGAAAGCATTTTTACATTTAGCATGTAACACACCGTCGATATGATGTTCACAAAGGTCCAAAAGAGACCCCAGGGCGTGACCCATGGGTCGCCTTTTGCGCATAAGTAGCTCCCAGCAATTAAGAGGCCGAAAGAGAAAAAAATACCCGTGTTAAGTCGTTTATTGTAAAGCCAATAGTCCCCTGTGGCGGTTAAAATAATCGCCAAATTTTTAATAACAGTCTGCGCTGACACCGACATCAACTCCAAACTCCTCATCGATGAAAAAAGCATTCCCACAAATGCGATAGTAGGTATAATCCACTGCATCGAAACTGACCTATTGAGATTTGGGCAATCGATGAACTTAGCGCTTTTCGCCAGCATAATCAGTAAAAGCGCCCCACTGTTTTGCAACAAAAGTAAACTATTTGGAAAGTTGAGTTTGTAAGTATTCATAATCAGCTTATTAAGCATTATCATTGAGATACTACAAACACTATACGCAATAATGGCTGAAATAGTCTTACGGAATCTCTTTTTTGAATTCATTTTTTGTTTAATGTTAATGAAACACTAGGGGCTATCTTTCCTATTATTCAAAAAGTCTACCAAATGGAAAAATAAGATCTGAACACAATGAAATAGAATAAACCATTCGAAAGGAATTTCGTTTTTGAAAAAGAGAAGCTGTTTATTCTGTTTAATCCATCCCATCAAAGGTCAACACGGACTGTTAAATGTGGGTAAACATAACTGTTCATATTTTTTCCCCAACACTGACGAGGAGAGAGAGGTAAATTCAAAGTAAACTTTTAATTGGAAAAGATAGTGCGTTCTGTTTTCGGATTCGATTCAAAGACGTGATCTGAAGTATGGAAGCCTTGGTGTTCCCCTTTTAGCATGGCATTTTGTGCCCCAGACAGACAGCCGAAGTAGTACTTGAATGGTTTGCTATTCTCGCCGATCGAAGAAATGCTTTAACCCGAAATAGCCCCTTCCCTTTTCCCTCTAGGGGCGCCGCCTTGGCTGGATGTCATTCAACACCTTGCAGAACCCTAGCAGGCATTTATTTAGTGGCAAGTGGGAGAGAAGGGGGGGAGAGGAGGAACTCAGCCAATCTAAATATCGAGCTATGTAGAGGCTAGAGCAACATTAAAGCGTACACATATGCATATATATATGTATTTATAATCTTCAAGGAGTAGGGAGAAGTAGCAGTCATTGACTGATATATTTGAATTTTGAATTTGCATTAGTACAAACTAAGAAACGACAAAATTTATCACTCCCATAGTAACATGCCCAGACTTGGCTAAGAATGACAGAGAAATGTTAAAAGTATTCACATTTCACTATGCTAATACATAAGCATTAAAATCAAAAATTCCGGATCTATGTATATATACATATAAATATGTATATATGAAAACCGCAAATTGAATCGGAAAAAATATTTTTTATAAAGGTTACAAGAAAAAGATTCACTTGTACACACAAACCTATCCAGTTTTACTTTTTTAAAAAATAAAAAAGCAGTTACTAGTCTAAAGAAATAACCAAGTAAAAATTATGTGCAACAACACCATATATATATATATAGGCATGATAATTGAGAATGATATATATATATATTTTCAATAATGCTTTTCAGTATGGTTCCTTCAATTTGGGATGACCATCTCTGAAATAGGGAAAATAAATCCATAACGTCGTTACTATGCCTGTGCTTCTTTATATCACACAGCAAAAGAGAAAAGGACAAATACTCATTTGTCGCTTGTATCTACTCATTCACGACGCAAATTACCAACCCCCATTTTTCTCTGTTCCGTCCTTATGGATAACTTCACACCTCCTTTCTACTCCAATTAAGTCAGCGAGAGCGGGAAAGTAGCATACGCGTAACGTATAAGAGCTTGAAATGCATGAACTCCTCAAAGCACACAAATATCATCAAAAGTAGCACAACACATAGCAGTGGATTCAAAGCAATAGAGTATTCGCGTTCCAAGTAGTTACCACAGGGAGGTTTGGTTGTGTCTTTCCCGAAACAAAATTTCTTATAGTCCTCCATTCCTTTGTTCTGGGGTATACAGGGAATCGTATACCCCTCACACCCTTTCTGCCTATAGTATTCAAGAAGTTCCTCGATTGGAAGGTCATAACGGATGTAGCTATCAAAGTGGTCATGCTTCAGATTATGAACAAGCACAATAACCAGCATAAAGGATGACGCTAGACCGAGAACACTAAAAAGAAATCGAACTCCCGACAACCTTACACTACATGGGGAGAAAATCCTCATCAAAAGGGAATGCACTACAGTGAGCATACCCGCTGCAAGGCATATAGCGCCTTCTGAATAGACATACACCCTAGATTGTCTTATATATGGAACAATAACAACTCGCGTACAACATAACAGTAGGAACGTGAAGAAAAACAGGACCAACAGACTAAAAATGATCACTACCAGCCCAATCGTGAAGGTTTGTTGAGGTATATGCGTGAGGTAAAGAACTCCAGTTCTGCTAAAGGCGGTGGAAGGAGGGACGTATTCACGTAGCGCGGTACGACTTATGGTAGCCGCTTTCTTTTTAGCCCGCTTGACGGCGCGCTCGACGTTCACCAGATGCTCAATCTCCTCCCTTGTGACCTTGACGAGCAGCCTCTCGTCGATATTCGGGCAGTTGCAGCGGTACACGATGAACGCACGCAGCGGGATCTGATGGGGGTTGTTTTTCTGCACCGTGTGCACAATATACCGCCGGCAGAACATCCGCAAACACTGCATGTCGAAGTACCGCCTCGAGGGGTCGCTGAAGAGCGAGAAAAACCCATTCGCCGGGTCCTGTGCGAAATTCACGCGGCTGATACTAGTTCGCGAGAAGGTGACAAAAGGGATCGGCCCGATCCCCACCCGCTGCCCGAGCAGCTTCCCGTAGATGCGTTTGATGCTGCCGCCCGTGTCGGCAGGGGGGGGGAGGGCCGCCTCCCCGCCGGGCTCCAACGCCCAGGTGAAGGTCTCCAACCCCGCCGAGGTCAGCCCCGCGCCGATGCTGCGCTTCGAGAGAAACCCGAGGGCCTGGTCGGGCTGCATCACGTGCGGCCCGTTGTCGTTCACCCTAAAGCGGAAGACGTGGATGAGCATGACGGTATCCTTGTCGATCGCGCCCACGAGGCCGATGTATTTCATCATGAGTAGCTCCTTCCCGATCAGCGTCTCGGCGTTAAAGCTCACGCGGCGGCCGATCAACTTCAACTCCGGTAGCGTCAGCTCCGGCAGGTTCTCCATCGGCCGATCGATATGAATGACCACCTTTCTAATCAGCTCTGAGGTGGGTATCTCATCCTCGAGGAGGGTGCCGTTCTCCCGAAAGGGACTATTGCTTGGGGGCGGGACGGAGGGCTCGTCTACCATGTTGCCGCCTCTCTCACGACCGCCCAAACGTCGTTGCTCGCCCGCACCCGCGGCAGCATTACGACCTTGGGTGGCTAAAATCGGTTCGGCGCGTGGGAAAGTCGGGTGATCCGAAGTGAACTCTGATCCGTTTCCAATGCAGTTCGTGGGCACATAGTTGCCCATTTGCACTAGTTCGTCACCTCTCCCTCTTGTATTGTCGCGTGGCATGCCGGATCTTAGAAGAATATTGAATTTAAGTTCTTAGTTAAACTACTAATGCAATTATAAACAATTTGTGTCTGTTTCCCTAGTGAAAAAGAACTACTAGCAACTACATGCAAACGGAAGAAGTAAGCAGCAAAAGTGTGCACATACATATGCAATTCATCCACTATTCACATATATATACATACATATGTATATATATATATATACATATGTGAATAATGGGTACTCGATAAAGGCTACAAAACGAGATCGCTCACGGTAGTAGCGCTACGTAATGTAATTTAATACTAGTCTATATTAGGGATACGGATTTAGAAGCATCAGATAGGAGTTCATATTCTAACAGTGGGAGTTTTTTCCTCTTAATAAGAACGGTGAGGGCTTTACTGTATTGCGTGAGAGAAAATAAGAGCAACCAATGTAAATGAACTGAATTCAGCGCCAAAAAAGCAGAGATATCCTTCCCTCTTCGAGAAGAAAATAAAGCCAAATTACTACTCATGTGCACAACATGTTAATGATAACAAGCTTAGAGCTATAACGTAGCCCTCCAAGATGGTAGCTTTATCCGAATTGGGAACTCGAGGCAACGAAGAGAAAAAGATTATACAATTAAGAAGACATTTCTGGTTTTAAGAAAAACATGTGAAGAAAGTGTTGCATGGATCAACTGTTCAGATCAGCCCTTCAAAACACTCCACATTAATCAAAGTGCCTATTTTTCCATAATAATAAAAAGCATTTTTAAAATGTAGTCATGGCACCTTTTATTGCATGCCTTCGCTCGGGATGAGATATAGTAAGTTTAAAATAAACACTATACGCATTCGATGTTTAACACACCTGAAACGACGCAACTGTTGCAGTAAGTTTCTCTTTAAAAGTTCACCTTAGCTACACAGAGACTCTTCCAAGTCAAATGAGAACAGTTTATACTTTTATCACTTATACAAAAATTATATCAATGTGTGTGTATATGTAGATATAAATATTTGTATATATATATATAAATATATTTAATATCTAAACGCAAGGTACCACGCCAACACCAAAATAGAAATCCACTCATTCATCCCTTCTCGATAAGTGGTGTGGCCATGATATTCCATGTAATTTGCCACACACATTTATTCTTATTAGTCGTCTCCCAAGAGCAGTTGCTGCATTTTCTCAAATGCAATAAAAATTATCGTACTTGCCGGGATCGCCTTTAGATAATTAGCTGTTAGTCCACTAAAAAGAGAAGAGACCCCTTTGCTCCTGACCATCTTAACAAAGCAGTCTGTCATGCCTGTGTAGTGCCGATTCCGGCCGTTTGAGCCTTGTGTTTGCAAACGTGTCCGGACTACATTAAGGGGGTAGGACACCGTTTGTGAGATCCCTGACGCTACCAAGCCCGTGAGGGCGATCTCAGCCGTGCTCAGCGCCGAATCGTGCCGGCTCATGCCCAGCCACTGCATGCGATAAATCATGATCCATTGCTGTGCGCTGCTGTACAATCCCATCTCCAATCCACGATAGATAAGAATGCCAGCCATATTGGGCACGAAGCCGCGGTAAAACTCCCTAGTTCCTCCTTGCTGATACGCGCTCCTCGCAATCTGCCTCACCCCACCCTTAAACTCACCAGTTTTGGAAACACACACGCGAGTTTTAATCACTTCCATTGGGTAGAGAATGCTCTGCGCGCCAATCCCGGCTCCCGCTCCGATCAAAAAGTTCACTACCAAACGCGGGACGTGCGAGAGGCAGATGAAGTGATTGAGCGGTGGGATGAAAACGGAGGCACCGGATTCGATAGCGAGTCTACGACGATTAATTTCCCCCTTCAGAAGACCACTCTCCTCTGCTTGCTTGAATGCGGCTTCGATCCGCTCCGTTTCGCGGTCGATGTAGTCTTCATAAAGCGAGGAGTAGTACCGACGTAGGGAAAAGACAATCGCGAACTCCGGGCCCGCCTTAAGACAGTTAACGAGATTCCCTCTCCAGAACGCCCGCCACCCTCCATCCGCCTTGATCATGCGGGCGATGTAAAAGAGTGAGGGGTGCTTGCACCCATGCCGCGCGCTCTTGCCGGAGGCCTCGACGAGATGCCCCTCCTGGAGAATCAATTTGATGCGGTCGAGCGGGGCGGTGAGGGTGCGACTCGCCGCCCCCGCGACGCCGCCCGCGATGAAGGTCGCGACGTTGCTATACCAGTCGCGGCGGAAGTGGAGGTCGGCCTTCGCGTGGGGCTCCTCGCCCTCGTGCATGAGCGGCCCTGGCGAGGGGCTATTGGGAGCGGCCGGCGCCCGCCCCCCATCCTCACCGGCCCCTGCCCGGGACCAATCCAAAGCCGGGGGAGGGGGGGAAGGGGTCCCTGGACCGGACAGATTAGACTGAGACCAAAGAGGAGGAGGAGGGGAATGTGAAGAAGGAGAAGGAGACGCGTCGGGGCTGTGACTGGCGTCACAAGGGGAGTGGACCTGGAGGAGGAAGCGCGGGGACGGGGGCGGTGGGGTCGTGGCGTCGGTCGGGACTTGGCGCCCGGCCTGGATCTCTCCCCTGTCCCCTAAGGAGCGTGGCACCACGGAGTCCATGGTGGGAAACGGTTTAGATTCTGAAACACAAGGTGGTGGTTGCGGAAGGACCGTAATTTCATGCAAATCAAAGACGTAGAAGTGAACCAAGCCTTCCACACGTCTAGTGGATTTTATATGCTTAATTACCCTGTCCAATAAAGAGTTTTTTTTTGAAAAGTATACTTGCTAGTGCTTTTCAGACAGGAACCCTTCAGAAAAGAACAAAAAAATGAAAGTTTATTCGTAGGCACCGTGTGCAGAGTAGTACAGACCGATCAAACCGTTCAGGCTTTATTTACCCTCCTCAGGCTCGGAATCTTCATGCGTGATGAAGAAGCCGAGAAGAAGGAAAATCAATAGCCTTTACCAACGTGTATAAATTATAAGTGAGTATTCTATGATTCTGTTTTATAATACAGCGATGATGCAGCCGTGAGATACAAAGCCACATAACCACTTTATCTGCCTTAAATGGAAATCAATAAAAAATGAAACGTTAATCAGCTCCCATGCATTGAAAGTGATACCGTTTTTTCAGACACATGTATGCGTGCGAATGATGTCTATAATTCTATTTAACATGCACTCGAGCTTCTACATCCACATCCCAATTAGTAAATGTGAAAGGTAAGACAGTTTCTGTTGAACTTCGGGAAACGGGAATTACAAGCCTTCCCCAACTGAAGTAATGTTTAAGTCACAGCAACACCAGTTTTTTAAAAATATCTATTCAGAAGCAATCAAAAAATGGCCTGAATAGTTTATTTAGTATATATTGGCAAGACAGTTGCATATTGTAAATAGGTAGAGCAAGTAAATTGCAAAAAAAAAAATACTTGCTCTAGAGTATCTGATTGTATTGCGTCATGGTTCAGCCTCTTTTGTAGTATATTTATATAATAGCTTTATTAGTATTAACAGTTGAGTTGTTGTTGTTAAATGAGATCCAACTCGCCACTTACCCACTTTCCCCCTGTGTATACAATGATGGAGCGCTCAGAATTCATAAAAGTTATCATTCGGTATAAACCATCCCACAACAGGATACTTTTTTTCGAACAACGCCAAGTGCTCATCGAGGGCTTGTAATTCCTCCTCTGTACAATCCGCCCAGTACTTATTCGTCTGCGTTTCATCTAGAATCGACTTTGCCACACAGCGAGATGCTTCTTTGCCTGCAAAGATGTGATAAGCCGCACCAGGGCCGTAAAGCGAATCCCCAACCTCAAAAACCTTCCGCCGAAGACTGACGAGAATTCGTTTATTCCTGACACCATCGTATTGCATAAGCTCCTCCTCCGTGTAGCCTCGTTGATGAAAGGATAGCGAACGACCACCATCCGTTGTGTTACCCCCCTGTGAATGGCTTGGATCGTGTAATTTTTTACGTTTAAGCCGAAGAATGGATTCCTTACAATGACTAAAAAACGATATAATGCTATTCGTGCAGCCTTTGGTCCTCAGAATACACACCGCAAAAACACCTACTGCGGCAACTCCAGCATACGTGGCAATAAATCTCTTGTCAAAGTGAATGCATGGCATGTTTTATATATTCCCAAAAATACGCTTGTGTATTTATATAAGATGACTGATATATCTGTAAAATAATGAGGCTTCCAATAGCTTAACTTGATTTACAGATCAAGATTGAAAAATAAATTAAACAGCGAAACGAAAATATTTTTTTTACCAAAACCAGCAGAAAAGCATTGATTAGCTCTTTTCATCATCCCACAAAAGATGAGATAAGGGCTAAAAATTTCAAGATGAAATATTAGTTTTCCATTGGCGTTTGTTCGCGTCTCGTGAATTTAGAGATCAAATTTTTTACAACACAATACTCTGTACATATCGTTGCTTGTTGCAAAACTGAATACATGGCGCACCTAAAATTTACACTTTTTGAATCACAGCGATTCTCACAACTTAATGGTTGTAGACTTGCCTTTATTCATCTCGACTTACCCACGTGCAAAGAGCTTGAAAGAGACGTATAAAGTGAAAGTTAGTAAACTGGTTCAAGGCATGGATTATCATAGACGTTGTCATCCATCAACGTTTCGTGTAGCGTATTATTCAGAAGCTTAATACGGATACCTTTTCGAATTCGCACGGTGCCGCGAATCCCAAAACGATTTCGCAGCACACTCACATTGACACACTTAGCGTAGCAGTCTAGCCCGTAGTACTCACAGTCATGAATCTCGTTATCTTTGAGTAGAACATCAAAAGCCTCAATTACAACCGCGGTACCATACATGTGGTGCAGCTGAGAATTCGTCATGGTCATGGCCGTAGGCGACTTGAACTCGTTCACGACGAAGGAAAGCGGTGGAAGCTCGGAGAGTACGCATCGGCCGCAAAATAAAACGCCGGTTCCTAGACAAATAAAGCGGCAGCTCTTTATGGAAACTCGAGCACTATCCACCTGCACGCCGACTAAACTCTCATTGCGCTCACGCAAAGCGTTGTAGCGATCCGTGAGCTCCTCACTCAAAGGCTGCTCACTTGACTCGGGGTCACCGTTGGCTTTACTGGAAAATTTGTTAATGAACTCATCATTGCTCTTTGAGGAGGAAACTTCCGCGTTATCTATATTTGGAGGATCTCTTGTATCGCCGATCCGGTCCTTGTACTCGTTTAACGCGAGCTCTTGATGCGGCAGACCGGAGAACAGGCATTTTTTAACTAAAACCTGCGAGCAGGGAAAGGCGTATAGGCCGCAACTCGTGGGCGTTTCAAAGGTACACTTTGTCAGACGCACCACGCTGTAAGGAAAAACGCTAAGCTGAGGCTCGTCATTATCACCCTTGTCGAGAGGACTCATAAAGCGGCAATTCAGAAAGGTAACGTGAGCACGACTAACTCGGATGCTGCCCATGAAGGTTAGACCGGAAATGGTGATCTGCGCCCAACGATCGGGATGGGAAAAGGTTTTCAAAAACTCCTCCTTTCTTCGAGCGCGCTCTATTGACTCCTGCACCTGCCGTTCTCGAAGAGCCTTCTCCTCTTCCTTTTGCCGCTCCAACTCAGCAAGCTGCTCGGGGGTTAGCTTCGCCTTTTTTCCTCCTTTCCCCTTCTGTTTCGTTTGGGAGATCCTCCGTTTGCTGGCCGTCTTCTTTTCCTCCTCAGCGACTTCGGGCACGATGTCGGGGTGCACCACGATGTTCGGTTCCACTCCCATAATGTGCAGATCCCCCACAATACAGTTGTCGAGGTTCCCGAACTGCGACCCATAATCCAGTTCGAGTTTCTGTAGCTCCTCCAAAAGGTACTCCGGATCGACTGCGGGAGGAGAGGGAAGAGGCACAGAGATAAGAGAAGAAGAAGGAGGAACGTCGATCGCATTGGTGGCGTCTTCGTCCTTGAATGCCTGGGCGGTGCCCGCGGAGGGCTCCGGATCTTTTTCCGAATCGGCGTCGTTGCCGCTTTTCCCCTCCTCCGCGGGCGGTTGCGATGGCGGCGGCGGGAGCGCCTGCGCGGGATCGACCGGCTTCCAGGTTCGTATCAAAGCCGCCTTTTCCTTCATGAGCTTTTTGGTGATCCCCTCTACCTGGAGCTGGTCGGCGAGCTCCACCTCAACCGTCAACGATCCCTCCGAATCTTCCTCCCCGTCGTGGGTGTTTCTGTCGGCGGGGAGGATCAGGACGTTCGTTTTGGGTATCGGCCCCACCTCACGGTTCTCCGCAGTACAGGACGCTACGAGCTCGTGGCTGATCTTAGTAAGATTCTTGATGGAGGTGTAGGAAGACCAACCTCGAATGTAATAATTGAACTTCCCATCGGGCAGTTTACTGGGATCTGGTAAGACTTCGTTTATCTTATTACCTCTTTTGAGCTTCATCGTGCCGCGGCCGTCCATATGAAAAAAGAATGAAAACGCTAATAACGGAGTTCCCTCAGCTAGTGGGAAAAAATAATCAGTTCAATTAAAAGATGGGTTGAAAGTAATGAGAATTATAAAAATCAAAAAGAGATACTCAGGTCATTTCAATCGAAGTCGCCGACATTCTAGCAGAATTATTAGCAATAACAATGGTCATAACACCACTATTGTAAATAACAACATAACGGTGGGGATAGGAAAAGGGAAAGAAAGGAAAGAGGGGAAAAGGAGGAAAGGGAAATTCACGCTATTCATCACCTTTCCCCATAGCTACATAATGACCCTTGCAAACCCACAACGGAGGTCGTCTTTGCTTCTCATTGGGAAGTAAAGGCAGCTCGGTGGCGAAGCGGTATTTTTCGGCACCCGCGAGGGCAACGTCGGTGAGTTTGGTCTCAATCCCCACCCGCGAGGCCCTCACGGTAAGGCATGAGCATTGGCAGCAGTACGCCGCGGCGTCAGGATTCGTGCGAAGGACCGAGTTCTGCGTCTTCCCCGCCCGATCCCCGAACGGGCTCGAGCCCGCCAGACGAGCCCAATCCGGGTAATAATTCCGCGTGGTGAGGTATAAATCAAAGCGCCCGTCGTCATCCACCCACTCCGCGCCCTGTAGGCGAATCACGACGTAATTGCACTTCAGGCAGAGAATGTGCGGGCATCCCCCGCGATCCGCGTCGGTGTTCCCATCCAGGCAGCCGTTGCCGAGCTCCGGATGGCTGACGTAAAAGGCCCCTTTGAGAAACATGAGGCTCCCGGAAGAGGCGCCGCGGGCGTGGAGGCCGTTGGAGAGCTCAATCAGCCCTTCCACCGTCGGAAAGGGGCTTTTCCCCGCGCGCGAAAAGGCGAGTGCGGCGCCGACGTTCGTGACGTAGCAGCGGCCCGCGCAGCAGACCAAACCGGCGGCTGGGAGGGTGGGAAAAGGCGGGGTGGGGTGGCAGGAGCGGCTCGTCTGCCGGCAAAGGTCGCTTGCCAAAGGGGTGGGTTTCACCCGCACCGGGGGGTCCCCCCCGCCGAGGCCGCGATCCTCCACCCCCTCCTCCTCGGAGGTGTCGTCGAAATCCTTCGCCTTCGCCTTGGAAGCGATGGAGAATGGGGCCAAGGGGCCTGATCGCGACGGGAGCGCCCCGGAATCTTCTAACGGATCGCCTTTGCGCGCGATGTGCTTGTGAAGCGCCTTATCGAGGGAACTCTGCCTTCCCGTCGTGCTTCTGGGGCTGATACTACCGGTACTGCTGTCGCTGGAATCCCATCCCGAGGTTTGCTGACGCCCAATCGCTGTCTTATCCTCTTCCTTGAAAATCTCATCAATAAGATCATCAATAGTTGTATCCATTGAGTTGAATTTTTTGTTCAGCTCACAAAATTGAACCTCCCTGGTTTAACGTGTCGTTGTTATTTTATACTTCTACTTCTTCCGCGTACCCAAAGTAGGGATCTCAACAGTCCTTCGATGATCTGCGTTTTCTGAGATCCGAAAGATTGAGGTGGGGAAAAGGTATTGCACTAAACATGAGAAAATGCGTCAAGGCCTTCGCTCTTTTGAGAAAAGCCAACAAAATTGTATATTATTGTGCGGGACAGATATATACATTCACCACGGTTTCTACAAAACCAAAAATATATTAACAAAAAACAATCATCCAATTAAAAAAAGCAACCACTTTCATATTATAAAAGGAAATATGAAACTCTGGAATGTTGAGTTGAACATTTGTCAGACAAACCATGCAGAAGAACTCAAGAAAGTGGAGGGAAAGCGAGGTATCGTTCTGATAAGCAAGAGGAAGCAATGGACGCATTATAGTACTTTACAAGTAGATGTCATTGTTTTATTTTGGAGGGAAGGGGGTAAATAAACTTCATACGCATCATAAATCTCAACTTTTCAAGGTGTATTAAGTCGAAAAAAGCAACCAATTTATTGTTTTATGGTCCAGAACGAAAATCAAAAAAAAGCACTAAGTAAAATTACAATTGTAGAGCTACAAACTAAACAACAATGGTACTATTACTTTATTCACTTTTCCTGTCGAATTGCTCATATCTTTTCTCTATCATATTATCAGAAAATAAAATGTAAAAAATATTCAAGGCGTAGAATGAGGAATTCATATCATTAAGAAAGCAACAAGAAAAACTACCAAATTTTGAATTTACATTTTCTCAAGACATGCACACACTCACATATATATATATATATATATATTTATATTTATGTATGTGTGTATATGTATACAAGAAGCGCGATCGCTTCATCGAATCCCCATTCCCCAGGCCTCCTATTTGTCTCAAAACTCAAGGAAATTTTTAAACCAGCAGCAACAATGACGAAAGTGAGTGAAGTTATTCTATTGGACAATTGTGTGAAAGGATAATAAAAGAGATATAGCTGTCTTTCTATACGAGATGCGCAAGATCCTAATGAAGTTGCCTTAAAACCCCATATGCTACATGATGTTACAATCGCAGTTCTTTTTAACCTTCTTTTTCAGCCCTGATTCGTCATTCAAGGGCCTCGACGAGCTCGTGTTGTTCGTATCAGGGAGGGTTTGTTGGATCGCGTCTATATGCACCTTTCTAGGGGGTGGCAAATCTAGTGCTAGTACCGAGTGCGAGACACCGCCCTGATGGTCAATCTCTTTAAACAAGCTCTTGGGCAGACTGTCGCCGGCCTTTTCAATACCTTTACGTCGTCCCTTTTTCCCTAAAATCGGATGCTTATTGGACCCTGCGCTACACTCCCGAGATGAAAAGTCGTTGGGATCCACATCTCCATCCACATTCAAAGAGCCCCCGGGGCTCTCCTTTCCCCACAGCGGCGTCGTCTCCTTCCCAACCCCCCCCGCCTCGTCTCGTCGCGCCGTCGCGGCATCCTTGAGGTTGGCGGCAGGGACGCACTCAGGCATCTTTTCCTGCCAAGCCACCCCGCCGGCCTCCCGCAGGCTCTGGGCGAGAGCACCAGGCGTGGATGAGACCGCGGCGGCGTCGACATTATGCTCCTCCTCACCTCTCCCGTTCTGATGGTAGCGAAGCTCCACCTCGCTGATGTGGATGCCGTTGCCCATGACCATGGCCTCCTCCAGGGAAGGGGGCTTTCCCGTGATCGACGAGGCCGGTTTACCCCGGATGACATCCCCCATCCCGGTGCCGACGAGCTCCGCCGAGGGGCTCGCGACAACCTCGCCGGGCTGCAGCGGGGCCGGACACCGCAAAGGGGGTCGGATGTTCCCCTCATTCGCCTCCGCGTTCGGGATCTCGCCACGGCCTTCCCCGCCGTTCTGGCCGCGCTTCTCCGCGTGAAGTTTATTGCCGTCGATCCGCTTGTGAAGCGACATGCGAATTTCGGCCTCGGCGACCTGTTCGATCGTGACGGGGTCGAGCTCCCAGTCCACCGGTTTATTCGGCGGATACCCCCGCCGCGCGAGGGCGCGGTACATGAGGGAAAGCAAGAAATCGTAATCGGGCTCGTCCTCGTAAACTAAGGATTGAAGGTGGGCTAAAAAGGCTTGGAACTCGCGCGGGAGATTGCGCACCAGCTGGGGTGTGATGGATTCCTCCTTGCACCGCCCAATATCCTCCTTATCCTTGTACTTCCGCCACGGCAGGGTTCCCGTCGCGAACTCCACCAGCATAAAAAGCAAACTCCAGAGATCATCCACGCGGCCGAGCTCCAGGCGTTGATGCGACGCCACGGAGGCGTAGCGACTCGTCCCGCGAAACCCCGCGTTTTTCCGCGAGGGCCGCAGCTCCCCATTCGAACGGCGGTAGCGCCGGGCGAGGCCGAAGTCGATGAGGTAGCAGGTCGCCCGATCCGGCGATCCCGGCAGCCCCGTAACGAAATTGGAGGGTTTGATATCGCGATGCACGAGCCCCTGCTCATGCACGCCGCGGATGGCCATCAGACACGAAATTCCCGACTTAAGCGTGGTGTAGATGTTAAAAGTGCCATGCGGGCTTCGCCGCCGTAGCTCGGTTAGGTTCGGCCCTAACTTCTCCATAACTAAATAGTTCATCCCATCCACACACCCGTTGCTAATAAACCGAACCACCTGCGGGCAGGACTGCACTTTTTTCAGCGCGAGCGCCTCCAAACGAAGAATGTTCTTATTTTCCTGTTCAATCTTGATGCAAACCTCCTTTCGCTCCTCCGGCGGGGGCAGACTCTCCAGTAGCGCATCCACGTCTTGCGGGATATACAGCCGATCTTCGCAGTAGCCATCCAAGGAGGTGAGGCGGTGGAGTTTCATCGCGGTGAAGGTCTCCCCGAAGGACCCCGCACCGATCCGCGAAGTGATGATCCACGAGCAGATGCACATCCCCGGCCGCACCCGCGTCTGCGCGAGCTTCGGCGGCCCCCTTCCCTCCTCCTCGCCCCCTCGTTTGCCCTCCTCGAGGGGAGGCCCCCCTCCTCCTCCTCCTACGGCTGCCTCCTCCCCCCCCTCCCCGTTTCGCGGCAGAGGGGGGGGGGCGGCCTCGGCGTTCTTTTTAACGCCCCTCGAGGGGGTTTTCGGGTGGGGCGGCTCCTCAGCCCCGACGAAGCCGTTTTGGGGAGCCCCCAGGACGAAGTCGTGCCCACTCATGACGCCCTGCTCGTGGAGGGATCGGTAGGGGCGGTCTATTCGGTGGAGAGGGTGGGAGGAGCTGAAGAGGAGCTCCTCATTCCGTCCCCGCTTGCTAAGGTAATTTTCGCCATGACGGGGACGATCCTTATCCGTGCGGTGCTGTTCATCCGGGGATGAGTCCCGTTCCCAATCTCGTTTCAAGGCATTGAGGTTGGTATTAGAAAAGATTCTAGCACTCGTCTGGATTGGATTATTGCCTATGTCTAGTTGCATTTGAGCAGGGAGTGGGAGGGGGAGTGATTGCTCCTGCCCCTTTTTACTAAATTTTGAAACAATTTCACCAGAAAGTCCTTGAGCTTTCTTTTTTTCCATCTTTGAGATTAAAATAGCGGAAGGTTGTCCCGGACAAGAGTAAAAACAATTTTGTGTAGTAACCATTTTAGGAGACCTCTCGCTTCCGTAACATATATGCATAGATGCAGATATATGGAATTTGACTTCCATAATACATTTGCACATCATGTTGTAGAACATTACACACAAAGTAAGCACTCTTAAAATAATGTAGAAGTTATTAGTATATAAGCAATGATGCTATGGGTAGAAGCTTATTATCACCTTCCCCACAATAAAGCACGTACATACGGGTGATTTTGCATGTCTTTTCCCCACAAATAAAGCAAGCCTGAGAAGGCGTAGGGAAAAATAACTGCTAAAGCGACCTAACTCATCTACAAAAGAATAACAGGATTTGCAATGTTGCAACTCAGTTAGACATCAGCTCTGGAGATCGAAACCGAAAATGCCTGTGTATCTAATATAAAAATGAAAGAAATTTACACAAAATACTCTCACAGTGACTTTACACTTAGTCATGTAAGCTTATTCCACTAAGCACTTCTACCTACATGACAACGCTCACAATCGAAGAAGTAACGCGGCATCAATTTACAATCCTCTCCTCTCCCATCCAAACCTTGCGCTTGGAGGGAAAACAAAGCGTGGGATGGATCTTATAGCCGTCGTATACGTAGCTTGGCCAGACTATTGGACAAACTCTTCGGCTTATGAGACATCATACTTCTCGCCTCGCTACGAGCCAAGGTGATCTGATCCGCCCGACGCTGCAGTGCGATATCCCGGGGCATTATCAACATGGGGGGCTCGCCAGTAATTAGACTACTATAGTCATACAGAAACTCCTGCAGCCCGCCGGCGATCATGCCAATATTGTCGATGCCTTTTTCACATAATATATTCGAAATCTCCACCGCGATCGACTCGTCAAAGTCGTACACCACAATATACTTTCCAATCTTATTCTTGTAGGCGTACATCTCCGGCAGGAATGGACGCATCGAGTGGTTCAAATGTATCCTCGGGTAGTGAAGGGCGCCAAGAATATGGCATTTCTCATACTCCTCAACGCTGCGGCAGTCTAACAGCAGAAGGTCGACCTTGTCGTATTTTTTATCAACGCCGGCTAGAATCCCAGCCGAGGTGCCGCCGTACTCATCCATCGGCCTAGCATAGCCGCCATCCGCCATCGGAGGCAAAAATGAAGGCAGCTGCTGCCTGCGCAGGTTGTTTGCTACCGTGCTCGTGCGGAGACGCTGGAAGAGCTCTCCAGGCTGCCGCTTTAGCCGGACCGTCTGGCTGTGGATGTACTCCGCGACCTCGGCCGTGTATCCCGTCTCTACAACCGCCTTCACGCCTTGGTACTTGCGATTGCCAACTATCGGCCGCTGAAGAATATCCTTATCCCCAATTGGCTCTTTGAAACTCGACTTCACCTTCCGCTCCGACATCTAGAAGCCTTGAATTGTTAATCTAAGTTCTTCCTAAGTCTTCGCACCCTTTGTGGAGGAGAAAGTCATAAGGTGAGTCCATAAAAAGCAACGAGGGGTTCGATGTGAAATAATACAACGAACTCAGCCAACGGAGCCTCCTTTCCTCTAACGCTCGAATACAGATTTCAGACACACACACGCACATGCACGCGTGAAAACAAAACAAACCTGAATATCGAATCGGGTAAAAAAGGAAATCTTCTTCGCTTAGAAATTAATATGAGCGATGAGAATATTTCGGCATACAAATAAGCATCCACATTTTGGGGAAAAAAAATTGCTTGCTCCATCCGTCGAAGCGATACGGTTAAACTCTATATATTAGGCTGATCTATTGCGAACAAAACAAGATGCACACTACGTTCATTGCGAATGGTTGAAGAGTGCGTTTCTTTCCTTTGAAAATATACTCCCGACATCTCTAGCCCCATTTCTCTCCTTAAGACTCTAAAATTACCCAATGAAAAAGGTAAAACGATGCATAAAAAAGGAAATCTAAGTTAACAGCGGTTCTGGATTCGCGCAATAGTAAACCAAAGGCTCATGCGACTCCTTCCCGTAAATCACAGGTGTATAGGTGGTGTTTTTCTTCACACTATTATCTAAGGGCGCTTCGGATACGCTACCATCGGGCGTCCCCTTGACCAAACCTTCATCCTCCGAGGGAGGGGGCCTGCGATTCCCTCGAGGTAACGTCGGCGAGGAGGTGGTTGGTTCCGTCCTCGAGGTGGTCGATCCCACCCCGCTCCGCTTTTGGACACCCCTGAGGCCTTCCGTGGGGTCCTTCTTCCCCTCCCCGTCCGGTTGAGGCGAGGCAGAGCCCGGGAAAGTCCGGGCGATCTCGACCCCCCTTTCCGACCGCACGCCGCCCTGTCGAGGACGGAACCCCCCCAAACTCGACGCCTCATCCGCCGCGCAGAGCAACGCCGCCCCGGAAGGGTTGCTAACCGCCTCGAGCGGCTTAAAAGTGCGATTGCCAAAGAAATTAGTGTTCAGCGCCCTCGCATCACGCGGGATGTAAGGCTTCCGCGACAACGGGAACTGGTGATCCACCTCCATGTAAGTTGGGAGGGTGGCGTCCGCTGCTAGGCTTGACGAGCCGGCGGTCAACCCCCGAGGGGTCTGGGGTGACCTATCCAACGACGGGTTCACTCCTTTTTGCGCGGAAGCGACGATGCCGTGATCCTCCGAGCGGTCTGGGTGTTGGATTTGTGAAAACGCGCCGGAAGGGCTCTCATCCGCCGCCGAACCCTCCTGCGAGCCTCGACACCCCATCGCTTCCTCCTCGATTATCTCACGACGCACTCGCCGCAGCTCCTCTAAACGCGCAACACGGACCTCCTCCTGATTTAAGAAGCCCATATACGCGACGAGCTTCTCCTTTGACGTACCAAGCCCGATTGTGGTGTGTTGGAAGGCCAGAACGGCGGTCTGCAATGCCATCTTCAGGTCGAGCCGCTGTGAAAGCGAGGCGACCGTTTCCTCGACGAACTGCAGTTTGTTCGTTAGACGCAGGAGGTGCTGCATAAGGGATAGCTTTTGCAGATCCTTGAAAGGATTAATCCCAGAACGTTTGCAGGCGGCAAGTGACCGGGGTGAGTTGAGCTCTGGAGGAGGAGGGGGGCATTTGGACGACTCGTATTGCTTCGCCCAGCGATCCTGCAGCTGTTCGAGATTGTCCAGGTTAATCGATACTGGACCGGGTTGTCTTGTTGAGCTACTGCGAGAGTATAGCATTAGGGAAATCTAAGGAATTTATATGGTTAAATTGATACTTTATTCAGCTTGGAGAAGTAACCCACACCTGAATCACAGGAAAAAAGGAGATGATACTAGTTTAGATATATACCCAATACAAGCTCGAGAATATATATACATACATATATATACATATATTTATTTATAGGTAAAGTGATGGAGTTTTTTTTTTAAGGGAAAAGTTGTGCAGAGCACGAGATGAACTAAAATATAGACATTCCTGGATAAATAATGATACTGGGTTATTAATACCGTCTCATCTACGCTGCATTTCGACGTGATAGAATATCGATTGTCCTTATCCACGGACTGGACATTCCCGATCCGCTCGTTTGCACGCAATGCAGAGTGCGTCGACGCTGCAACAAGCTCCGAAGAAAGGGTCCGCTGATATCGGTGATCAGGGGATTATTTCGGAGGTCGAGAGAGCGCAGGCTAGAGAGAAAGGCCTCACACAAGAGCGCTAAAACGCGCACCCCCGCGTCGTCGAGGCCAGTGCCCGCTAGACTGAGCAATGTCACCTCGGGATACCCCTCTAGCGCCCGAAAAAGCGGAACCATATCCTCCACACGCCCGATACCCTCACAACTCGTGAAATCGAGCTCGCAGTGCTCCTCTGCAGGTTCAACGTGCGAGGCTGTGTGAGAGCACATCCAAGGCGCAGTGCCGTTCTTGGGAGAGCCTGCCCCGCCGCCGTGGCTCCAGGAAGAAGTGGCGTTGTCATTTGTCGTTCCCAGATTATCCGAAACACCGCTTGGGTCCCTAATCTCATTAGAAGGCGGAATCATCTCTCTAGAGGCCATATTGGTTGATGTTAAGTATTGAGAATCAGTGTTTTTAAACGACTTGATACACTCATCGCCCTGTGGAAGCGCTGCTGGCGACGCGGCGGATATTAAAATATTCCTTTTCAAGGTATCTGGAGTGGAAAGCTCCTTCGTGCTGAACGGTATACTCGGGGAGGGGAGCATCAGCGAAACAATACTGGAGCTAGGCTGAAGCTCCGCGGTGGATCGGCAGATATGGGTGTTGGAAGAGTTGAGTGTCGGCGGCAACGTAAAAGACTGGTGGTAATCAAATGCGAGGCTGGTAAAGGTGCGGTTATCGATTTCTGGAGCCATGCGCGCCATCACACTAGAAACAGGAACAACCCCGAGATTCTCACAATGCTTCTCGTACCGGTGGAGCAGTACCTGTCTTTTCTTATTGTCAGTTTCCTCACCGGAGTACGTATATGCCGTCAAGGAACCATAATAATATTTAGGTGAATGTAGCTGTAGAGGGGGGTCCGGGGCATCGGTACTCGTCGAAGACGACAGATCCAGAGCCTTGTTTACCAATGCGGTTGGCATGGTGCTTCCTAAAATGTACTGGCGTAGTGCATCCCTGTAACGCTGAACTGGTGTGTTTCGATCGCAGATCACCTGCTCGATGACCCCCTCTACTAGCTCAAACGCCGTATGGAAGTGAGCTGCACGAACCTCCATGGGAAGCTCATCGGGTTCGGACTCATTGGTTATAAGACTCGACGAATAAGAGGCGGCCTCACACCTGTGATCGTTTTCCGTAGTCAGGAGCATTTCTAAATACGGAAACGAGGGTGACGCGACTGGTGGTGTCTGCGTCGTGGATGTCTCATGGTCATTGGAGGAAATGGGTGCCGCGCGCGGCTGATCCACCTCACTCTTGGGTAAATTATCCCTGCTAGTATTCTTAGGACTCCGTGGAGAAGACGACTTTCCAGATTCATAGATAAAGGCTAAGGCATCCCGCGGAGATACTACAGGAAGGGAATATACAAATTCCATTTCATTTTATTTAATGTTATGATTTTTGATAAACCTAGACGCACGCGATAAAAAAAGCAACGATAAGGTAAAATGAAGCCAGTAGGCTAAAAAATAATAAATGCTATTAAAGGGAAAAAATGAACCGAAGACTTTATGTGGGCAAAATCTATGAATACTCTCCTATCTAAATAAAAAATGTCTAAGGGAAAGGGGGGGGGGGAAGGGAAATGCTGAAAAAAACATGAGTAATCTGAAGCAAACCGTGATGTAATGCTGATAAGCGAAGCAAAGCAGCAAGGCATCGCTACTGGTTTGAGAAAAGAAGCGTTGTTGTTTCGAGAACCTCTAAAGTTGCATAATTTACAGAAAAAACACGAGGACAAATGAAACCCGAGTGTCCATATACTCTCTGTACATCGAAATCCTACCACGAGACCCCCCTCACACACACACACACACACATGGGAAAAAAAAATGAAATGCATGATTTACCCCGTGGTGGCCGGAAAGAACATCTTAGTGTAAAGCACCGCATCCTCGGCCAAGTCGCAGCAATGCACCGCATTCCGCGTATCATCGATGCCGAACTTCGCGCGGATGGTATCCGGGAAGAGCTTCCGCGCGACCCGGCTGTCGTACGGCCCGCAGGCGGCCCGGACGGCCGCGACGACGTCGATCCCGCCCCCCTTCCCCCCTCCCCCTCCCCCCTCCCATTC